TGGTTTTAGGCGGGATTTGAGCTCCCGTGATGCCACGGAGAGCGGGAAATCTGAGGAAAATTTCTTAGATTTTTGGGGAAATTTTTTTTTTATTTTTGAGGGATTTTGGAGGCATTTCTGAGTGGTTTTAAGGGGGTTTTGGGTTGTGGGAAGCGGCTGCCAAGAGCGGCAAATGCGGGAAATTTTGGGGGAAATTTCGGGACTTTTGGGAATTTTTTTCTTAAATTTTGGGAAGTTTTGGGGTTTAACTGGTTTAAACTGGTTTTAACTGGCATTTCCAGGGAAGAAGAAGAAGAAAACGCGTGGGGATCATTTCAAGCTGCGATTCCGACGCAACTTCCAGGCCCTGCTGGAGGAACAGGTGGGGAGATTTGGGGGAATTTGGGAAAATATTGGAAAATTTGGGGAATTTTAGGGGGGAAATTGGGAAAAAATTGGGAGAAATTGGCAGTTTTGGAAAAAAATAGGGGAAATTTGAGGGAAAGTTGGGGAAAAATTGAAGGAAATTCGGGGAAAAAATGGGGAATTTGGGGGAAAATTGGGATTTTGGGAATTTTATGGGGAAAATTGGGGAAAAAATAGAAATAAAGGAAAAGAATCGGACTTTTACAGGAAAAAATTCGGAGAAAATTGGGGAAAATTTGCGAATTATTGGGGAAATTGGAGGAAAGTTTGGGAAAAAATTGGGGGGAATTGGGGGAGGAATTCCAGAATCCTTAAAAAACCCTAAACCCCCGAATTTTTCAGAACCTGAACGCATCKGAAGGCCCCAATTACGTCTCAGCGGGGGCGGCGCCGTCGCGGCTCCCCCAGCGCCATTTCTGCGCCGTCTGCGGCTTCCCCTCGGGATACACCTGCGTCACCTGCGGGGCCCGGTACTGCTGCAGCCGCTGCCTCAGCACCCACCAGGACACACGGTACGAGCCCCGAAACATCCCAAAAAATACCCTGAACATCCCAAAAAAAACCCCGTGACAAACAGTGAAAAAACGGCGAAAATCGAGAGAAAAACGGCAAAATAATGCCGAAAAAATGGAGAAAATCGGGGGATAAATGGTGAAAAATGGAGAAAAATGGTGAAAAAATGGAGAAAATCGGGGGATAAACGGTGAAAAACAGAGAAAAATGGTGAAAAAATGGAGAAAATCGGGGGATAAATTGGGAGAAAATGGCAGAAAAAAGGGTGGGAAAAGGGGATAAATGGGAGTGGGGGAGGGGTCGCTCCCCTGCACCCCCCTGACCTTCCCGTCCCCTGCAGGTGCCTCAAGTGGACGGTGTGACTCCGCCCCCATCATGGCTGCCGCAGCTATTGTGGTTCTTCCCTCAAAATGGCCGCCATGACCACGCCCTGACTGTGCCCACCCCCAATATGGCTGCTGTGGCTCCGCCTMCCAATATGGCTGTTGTGACTCTGGTTCAACATGGCTGCTGTGGTTCTGTCCCAGTGTGGTGCTGTGACCCCGCCCACCAATATGGCYGCCATGGCCACATCCCCAACRTGGCGGTTGTGAYCCCRCCCCCCAATATGGCTGCCATGACCACACCCCAATATGGCTGCCATTGCCATGCCCTCAACACGGCTCCTGT